GAAGGGTTGTGGGTGGTGGTGGTGGTGTGGGGGGGTTATCGAAGGGTTGTGGGACAGAGATACGAGGGCGGCTGCCAGTTGACGAGGGGGGAGGGGTTGCCTGAGGCCATGCGTTTGGGGGGGAGGAAGGGGTTGTGATTGTTGACTCACGAGGCGGCAAGGGCGGCCGTCCTGGGGAGGTCACAGCTGCGTCGGCATGAGCCTGCCCCTGACCATGTGCAGGAAACATTCAGGGCCCGCTCCCCTGTGTACCGTCACCTGGTTGTCGGCCAGAAGGTCGACAACAAGGGGGTCATGATGCTGCGTTGCACTTTTTTCAACAAAGTATTTTAGGGGAGCCAATTCCAGGCGACGAGGCATTTCACGTAGACGAACTACTGCAAGGACGTCAGGGACGAGGCTTTGTACGAGATCGCGCGACGAATTCAACAGAAGTTTGAGAGCGATCAAATGGAGAGGGTTGCCAGGTACGCGGCAGAGCGCGGAGTCGATGTGCCTGGCATGGGTGGTGTGAGGGGAGGAAAGGCGGGGCGGAAGCCCGTGGAGGGAGCGTGAGGAGGGGTCGGGGGAGATGGTGGAGGTGGAGACACAGAGGAGGGCGCGATCGACGTCGATCGCGAGGCGAGTGTCCCGGACGAGCACGGAGTCCCAGGACACGAGGACGTGCCTGAGGTTTATCCAGGCACAAGGGAGAGGATGGAGGACTTTTTGAGGCAAGCAGCCAAGGGACTTGTAGGGGAGGGTTCTTCCAAGAGGAAGGAAGGTGGAACAGATCCAGTCGCCGCCCTAGCTGGGAAGAGGCATCGCCAGCAGAAGGTCACCGACGTCTACGGTGGCGAGTGGGTTGCTCGCCACAAGAAGACATTCCTTCGCTGGCTCTATTCCAGCGGGGTCCCCTTCAATGCCTTCCGCAACCAGGCTTGGAAAGCATACCAGCAGGTCCTGCTTGAGCAGCCTGGCAGTTCCCCGCGCACTGTGCTCCCCAGCCACAGCGAGATTGCGAATATGCAGGCGGTGGAGACCCACCGTGAGGAGCTGGCGGAGGAGTTGGAGGAGGTGAGGCAGCCATTCAGGATCACTGGTGCCACCCTCCTCTCCGACGGGAGGAAATCACGAGACGGGAGCCCGATCGTGAATTTCCTTGCCGCCGGCTCGTGAGGGGTCGTCGTGTACACGACGATCAATCGCGAGGGCGAGCCGGACGATGCAATGCACGTCCTTCGGAGATGGGTGACCATCTTCCACGAGTTTAGTTTCGGCGGCCCGCAGCGGGTCAATGCGATATGCACAGACTCCGCATCGGGGTACGTGGGGGCTGCGAGGGCATTGGCCTCGCCGGGCATCCCTCCTGCAATCAGGAGGATCACTTGGCTTCCGTGTTCCGTCCATGTGTGCAACAGATTGTTGTCAGACATGGGGACGAGTTGCGACGCGTTTGTGGACGCGATTACACGCGCTCGTGTTCTGGTGGTGTTTTTCAAAACCCACTAGGCCGCCCTTTATTTCTTTAGGAAGCGCAGCCCCACCAAGGGGCTTGTGCTTTCTTGCAAGACGCGGTTCGCGTCTGTTTATTCTATGTTGGAGAGACTGTTGCCCCTGCAGGACGCTCTGCAAGCGATGATGCGAGAAGAAGAGGGGCGAGAGTTTGCTTCTATACCGTGGTCCGCCGATGTGTACGACATGGCGCGTTGGGTGCACCGGCAGATGAGATGGGAGCCTTGGTGACACATGATGGCCACCATAGTCCACATTATGCAGCCCGTCATGGAGCTGCTTAGGCGGATGGATCGTGGGGGGCAGTACATGTCCCTCATGATCGAGTGGACACAGGATCTTGTCCGCCGTGTCACTGATGCATGCGCTCCTTTGGGGAGGGTTTTCGCTGACCGCATCATCAGGCGTGTGCAGGCTCGCACACAGCACATGTTGGAGCCTGCTCACTGCGCGGGGTTCTTACTGAACCCCTGCAGGCGACATGTTGAGTACTTTTCGGGCGAGGTGAGGGATTACCCTCGTTGGCTTGTGAGGCAAGCCAAGAGGTACATATTGACGCAGACGGGTTTCGAGGAGGATGGTGCGGAGTACATCGTTGCATGTCAGCAGTTTGAGGACTTCCACATGCAGCAGGTTCTATTTGGGGATTGGGGAGGGGCGGAGGGGCGTGCTCGTGGCCGTGCTTGCAGCGACGACAAGGAGACGATTGAGTGCGCGTCCTGGTGGTCTCAGTACGGGTCTGGCGCACCTGAGTTGCAGCGCTGCGCTCTTCGTGTGATGCACATGTGGTCTTGCGCCTCTCCAGCGGAGAGGAACTGGGCAGTCCACGAGGGCATTCACACGAAGAAGCGCAACCAGTTGGCCTTTGAGAAGGTTTTTCAGCTCGTTGAGATCACCGTGAATGTGCGGTTGTCGGAGTATCGGCGAGCTGGGTGCGGTTATGTGCTGCCATGGCAGCGGGACGAGGGCATGCTAGACTGCCAGGCCAGACTGGAGTTGGAGCCAGTGCGCACGGGCACGCGCAGGGGGATGACGCCGGAGGAGATTGCCCGTTAGGTTGCGCTTATCGTCCGGGATCCCATCGGGGTCTCAGCACCACCCGCCGCTGAGGCCGTATTTGGTAGACGTGCTTCCATTTTCCGTCCTTACCCCAGGGAGGATGATTCCGACGAGGAGCCGGTACCCAAGGCAGCGGACCACCCCGCGCTCCACATTCCCTGTGAGATCGACGAGACGCACCAGGACCTCGAGGAGGACACCAGGGCGCATACTGCATGACGGGCGGCTGACAGGGCGGAGAGGGAGATGATGGGGGGAGAGGAGGAGTTGTGGGGACCGTTCGGGGAGGTCGTTTCGACGGGCGGCACAGGAGCGCGGGCGACGAGCCCCGCTCCGACAAGGCAGGAGTCGTCCATGACGCCACCTTTTTCTCCGAGTCCTGCACCGCCATCGCCCGTCGCGCCATATGAGTCGACCACGGCAGCAGAGGACACGGAGGAGTTGGCGTCCTCTTTGTCTCAGCGCGGACTACTCCACAGAGGCGGGGCAGTCCGACAGCTAAGGTTACGATGACCTTCTGCGGGGGTCTTGCAGGAGGAGGGGGGACCGTCGGCAGCAGCAGTGGAGGGGGAGATGGCAGTGGAGGGGGGATTGGCGGACACAACGATTGCAGGTGTGGTGGACCAGATAGTTGTAGCAGCAGCGGCTTCATTGCTAGAGGAGATGGCAGCTTCAGTGTTGGCGGAGGAGGCACCAGCGCCAGGGGGAGCAGATGCAGTGGAGGGGCAGGCGGGAGCAGCTGAAGGAGCAGCGGGAGGAGCAGCTGGAGGAGCAACTGGTGGAGCAGCTACACTGGATGGGCTTGTGGCTGCAGCAGCAGGAGCAGCGAGACGAGGGTCGGATGCAGTGGGGGGGGGAATGCCAGGAGCAGTGGAGGAGGAGATAGGGGCACAGGCAGAGGTGTCGTGTGGGGGCGGCGACGAGCGCCTCATGCAGCAGTTCCTCACGGAGCAGTACGATCCGGTCATGGCGGGTATGACCCCAGGTGTGGCGAGGGGGTTGGGAATGTCGGATTCGCAGATGGGGAGCCACCTGGACTTAGATTTGTCGATGGGCCTTCCACCTAGTTGCGGAGGGGCGACATCGACGGATCGCGCTCCATCGAGGGACGACGCGGCTGGAGAGAGTCTCACGCAGCCCTAGAGAGTGACAATGACTGCGTCTCTGGATGCGGCACGCGACATCTTAGAGCGAGAGAGGGCTCGACTTATGGCATCGACTAACCCGCGTGCTCAGGCATTCGCATGGGCGTTGGAGGATGCGAGGCGTCGAGAGACAGGGGGGGATTGTGTGGAGGGTGGGGTCACTGGGGTGGTTGCGGGGGAGGATGTTGTGGAGGTGGTGGTAGTCGAGGCAGGGAGGGGG